TTTCAGTTGGGCTACTAGATCCTGGGAAAATAATTGACTAACTCTTTGTAGTAACTTATAAGCCCTTATGAAAGATTGCAGATTGTAATTTTTTCCACAACAGTAAATGAAACTTAATGTTTATTAGGCTAAATTTAAATTCAAACTAGACCTATGTCTGTTCTACAATAAAGACTTAATTCAACTAGTACTGGTGGGGGTCAAATTGCATGTCAAAACATTTTACAGAGTTACATTCAAAATTTAAATAAACAACTTTATTATCAATTGATTGATACACTTGACATCAAAATGTAGTAAGTAAATCAAACTTTTAAGATAAATTTTAATATCTTAATTTCATAAGAAAATATTCAAATATATTATCAATGTTCACTTCCTCATATCACGTGAAAACTTGTTTGCTCCAAATTGCCCATTTAAACATTTTTCCATCCCATTCGAGCTTCTGAGTTTTAACATGAATGACAAACATTTCAATTTCAAGCACAGATTTAGTCCTTGTTTTGTTGTTACTTTCAGTTATATAAATGAGTAGAGTATTACTATGTACCAGATGTAAATCAAAGGTGTTTAACAGATTTAGTCCTTGTTTTGTTGTTACTTTCAGTTATATAAATGAGTAGAGTATTACTATGTACCAGATGTAGATCAAAGGTGTTTAACAGATTTAGTCCTTGTTTTGTTGTTACTTTCAGTTATATAAATGAGTAGAGTATTACTATGTACCAGATGTAGATCTAAGGTGTTTACCTTTAATTACAACTGAAGTTACTGAAAGTTGAATAGTAAAGTACAAGTAAAGTACCAGCACTGGATTAAATATAATTCTCATGTTAGAGATAGTTTTAGTTTTATTACTTATACAAGGCATCAAGTCCATTGGTAAGATAAGTCCTAGTCTGAAGCCTAGTTTGTGCAATATCAGGACAGATGAATCTCTGAAAGACTGAATAAATCAGCAACGTGACTTAGATCTGGAAGCTATAACAAACAATGCCACACACATACTGGATAGGTTTACAGATCATCAAGCTGAGAAGACACTTTGCCACATTCTGTTACTACAGGGTGGAAATAACACAGAGATGTCTAGTTGCAAGTTATCAGAAAAACTGATTGGCATAGCTCTTATGTCAGGGAGGTTTCTCAATAATGGAAGGATATCTAGTGTGCACCAACCTAAAGAATATCAGCCCCATTATAATAGACTACTGGTCTGCCATCACTCACCTGCCTTGTTAGGGTGGACAGAGCTAGGAACAGGATTTCTAAACAGTCTATAAACAATAATATATTTAAACATATATCCAGAAAAATACACATGGGAGCAACTGAGCTTGGACACTCAATGGAAGACCTTGACTGACCAACAAGAGAAGAACAAAAAGAAAACCAAGGCCTCAACACCAAGCTGGTAAATAAGTCATGCATAAAAAAGTGCACCAGACTGCCAGTCATGTTATGATAGGTTACTACAACATCACATGAATCAGGGGAAGCAAATATTGTCTTGAGAAGCTCTTTGAATTTTATGAAATCATTCTCTTTAAAAAAACTAAACCCTCATACCCTGAGGAGTTCAATGTCATAAGCTTTAATTTCTTAACACATATTGGCACAGAGGATGGGATGGCCATTGCAGCTCAGCATGGCAGCAACATCTACTGTGAATATTATGACAGCTTTCAGCGTAAAAATCACCACTGCAAGTTACAAACCATCCAGAAACTTAACCAAAGTTACCAAACATATCCTAATCAGATGAGTCATCACCAACATCTGCATGAAATGTTACACAGTGCATCACTCTGAGGACTGAAGGTTCCTGCCTGACTTGTCTGACAACACTCACCAACCACAATAACACAGCTATGATGGACATCAATGAACTGTAGGTTTCAGTGGGAAATAGAGCTGAAAATTATCACTAGCTTATGCTTTACCAAATTTTTATCTGATCTATCCTGTATTACGCACTAACAATGATCAGTACAAATTTTATGCAGCTAGGTAAGACTAAAAACATACAAAATGTCTGTTCAAGAATGGTCACAAGATGTACTTCATCCACTCCCATCAAAACTTTGTTACACTTCATAAGTATTAGCAGCATCACAGAGACCAACAGCACTTACAAGCAAAATTATCCACTAGGGTCTTATAGCATAGGGATCATAATTTATATCATCATGCAACTGCCCATTTTAATTGGGTCATTCCAGCTCCAAAACAACCCTGAAGGCACCAATGAACAGGAAAATGCCTAATAAGCTCCTCCAGCAACAGTCATGAGTGAACAGATGATCTACAGCCACTACTGAGATAACTGGTCACCACCAGAACTCAGGTGCCCTATCTGAATGTTTGAAAATCAGCCTACACAAAAAATATAGGAATTGGACTGAGGGTAAAACAGAAAAGGCCAATTAGCACTCATGTGAAGTCCCCAATGACCAGTCACTTGCCATCATAGCCACAGATGACTCCTACATCACAGATAGGGAGAGAACTGTTTGGGCATTCACTGACTCAAAGAGCAGCACAATTCTGCAAAAGACTCGTAAAGCATTCAAGCTTCCCAAAAGCAGTGCAAGGGTGAAGCTAGGAGCTAAAAAAGCAAGCTATTTTCTGGTTTGTTGAAAGCAATGAACCAAAGATAGACAGTGCCACCAACATAATATTTACAACTGACTCACAGGTTGTACTGAATAAAAATTCAGAGTAGTTTGTCTCCAGATGGACAGCAGAAAGTAAAGCAAATGAATGGTAAGACCATCAACTGGATGTATGTTCTTCAGCAATGCAGGAGTAAACCTAAATGAGGAATTTGAATAGCTCACAAAAGAAGCCTCAATATAAATTACTGCAAAACTATACTGACAGGATATAAACTTCCTATGCACCTGTAAGGCAAAAATGACAACATTGAAAGGTCTTCATCAACATTCAAAAGGAACAAGCCTGCTGGAAAACAAAACATTGTATGGTATAAATAGGAAATTCAAGAGTTGGGGAATCAATAAGACAGTGTACAGCCAGAAGGCTACTAGTAACATCAGTAAACAAACTGTCTGCTCCTGTTGCTATTCTCGTAACTACATTCTGCTCTATCTGTGACCTAGTCATTGCTGACTTTGCCATTGATGTAAACAAGTAGATTCCATACTCCATTTTGATCATGGTTACTGCTCTCATTAGATTGATAAGGTTCTTTTACAACACTTTGTTGGTGACAATTCCAGTGGTTGTACTGACAGTCACAAACCCTTCATTTTGAGGTCAGCTGAGTCAGAAGAAATCAACATTCCGTGACAACCTGCACTTTTAAGATTAGTTTGTGCAGCATTACTGCAAACAAGGGATTCTAGCCGGCAAAGTATTACTCAGAGCAAACACAACCATATCTCACCCACTATATTAGCACTTGAGAAAAAAGGGAGATGAGGCATCAATAGAGAGTTTGAAATCAGTCTCAAGTTATGGGTTCGTGAGGCTAAGAAAGATGTAAAGGAGATATGTCTACAGGAAAATATCAAAAATTGGACCGAGCAATTTGTATTAAATAAAACACAATGAAAATAGGCAGCAGGATGTGGAGGGAATGGTCATGACTTGCCAAGACAGCCAAAGTCATGGAATCTGTGTATAAGCAAATATACTTATCATAACAAAGATTGGCTCATTTAGAAAAGATGTGACTGCACTGCCAATGAACATCTTATGTTTAAATGGTGTCAAAAACTTTATGGTCTCATTCAAATAGAACAGAGTGTGAAGAATACAAGAGTGAAATCATCTGGTTGGTCAGTAACAGTAAATATCATAACAGGATCATACTCCTAAACTTCATCATAAACAAATGTTGTCCAGAAAACATGGATAAAACCTTGGGAGAGAGTTGAAGGCTCATTTGATAAGCCATATTACAAGCCATGCCAACATATTAATCAATTAGAAAGTGGATCACCTAACTGATATAGCATTGGGCGATCTTATAAGATCTCCAAATTATGTCATCAATGAAATGGCATATATATTGATAGAACATCAATAGATGGAACACAGGTCACACTGGCCAACTAGAAGACTGGAAGAAAGATGGTGAAGGTATGGAAGTGGAGTGAACATGAAAATATGTGGGAAGTACAGATGCAACTTAAATCAGATTGAATTAGCCATCTTACCAAAAGAACCATTAGGAGATTATTAGATGGAGGAGAGCCTACGCCAAGGCTGGTGCCAAACTCTCCAAGTATTAAATAGCAAAAGTAATATCAAAATAATCTTTCTTAAATTAGTGTTAAAATGACAAATAATTACACTTAAGTATAAAAAAAGTGATACACAATAATTAATAACAATAAGGTATTCAGTTAAAGTGATTGCTAACAGCCAGTTTCTTTGCTGTACTCTGTAGTTTGGAATTAGCAATAGTGTAACTCTACATGGACTGTACACTGAAAAACCTGCTGCTATGGGACAATTAGAGAGAGGAGAGCCCATGATTTCAACAGTGTTAAACTCCTTTACCATGTCAACCAATCAATCAACTGATAACATTTTCTTCTGTTACTAGTAAAACAGTTATGTTCATCACAGTCTATGTAATCTGAATGCATGCATACATTGCTGTTATTATACTCAATGCAACTAAAATAATATGGCACATGCTCAAATATAAATACTAGAATGTGATATAAACTATACATGGAACTAAACTGGATTGATAAAATAGGAGAAAAGTATTCAGGCCATGTTTAGACAAACACAATCAGTAAGTAGGAACAACTTCATTGTGTCTTTAAGTTAGAAACAATAGAAAAAGATACCATAAATCTTTAAGTTTTGAAACTGTAGTTATTAACATATGACAATTTTAAAACCTCAGAAGGTACATTACCCACATTTTAAACATTAAAAATTACAAGAGCTTCACAGAAAAAGCTATTTTGAAAATAAACTAAAGAGTATGTATGAAACAAATGTTTAGAACTTACCGGCCTCGAACAATGTTTTCTTGAAAAAGTTCTCGTACAATAATACCAATATTAGAGACATTAACCTTGTTGACCAGACCAATTATACTTTTCTTTAAAGCTTCCCAAGCAATTCGTTGATATTCAATGCTAAAAACAAAAAACTATTTATAAATTATCTATAGAGATAAATCAATATGCAGATGAACAAAGTAACAGATATTATAACTATGATATCAAAAAAAACATATAATGCTAAAAATTGGGTTTTAATACTTTATGTAATCTATGTTCATAAGTGATTGAGTTAGTTGCCCAACTTTACAGTGTGTGTGTGCGTGTTAGGATTTTGTTTGTATATGAATACTTCTTTTATAGCATTCTCCCAAGAGAATAACTGATTAGTTGAATGTAATTAATGAGCATGAAGATTAATCAATCAGCAAATTCCACAGATGTTTATGTCTGATCATATTTATTCTTAAAAATAGAAATTGATAGATAAAAAAATTTAAAAACCTAAAAATTCTTAATTAAATGAAAACTCTTTTTATTTTGTAAATAAAAGTATTTGGCAACAAAATAAAGTATATTGAAATGTGAAAAGACAGACAAAATTAAAAACTTTTCAGTCTACTCTGTAGATTTAATTCCCTTGGAAATAAATTAGTAGTACAACAAAATAAGACAAGTTTCAGAGAGAATAAATTACCAAAAAAAAAAAAGATCTGATTAAATTCTACATGTAACCTATTTTTCTTTTACTGAGTGGTAAAAAATGTAGAAAAATTCTACCTTGATTTATCTGTAATCTGTGCTTGCATCATTTTCAGCCTTGCTGGTGGAATGTAGGCACCTGCAGTCATTGACGTCAAGTAATTTTGTTCTGATTTATTTTTGGGGGGAGCCAGAACATCCTCATCTTTCTTTCCTACCTGTGAAACCTCATCATGATTATCCATTCTCAGTCTTTTTCTGTCATCTGTTTTTTTCTTTTCAGCATTATTTTCAGTATCTCCACCCCAGTAACGTTGTCCTACAACCCTACTTTCAAGATTTTCACCCTCTCTTGGTCTATCATTTTCATCATCATCGTCACTCTGCCAGTATCTCCTACCCGAATGCTCATTAGCACGTCTTCTTTCTTCTCTATTTCTATAACCATACCTTTTTCTGTCAGACTCTTCATATAATCTACTTCTACCAGTTGTTCTATTTTGTGGAGAATATCTGTTTCTTCTGTGTGAATGTTCAATGTCTTTATGTCTGTTATTCTTTCGATTATCTCTCTTTTCCATAGAAATATCTCCATCACCCTTACCTTCTCTGCTTCTAATTTTCTCTGGTTGCTTTTCTTTTCTGGTGGCCGATTCCTTTACAACTTCATCACTAATATCAAAAGAGTTATCAGCCTCTGGATGCAATAGCAGATGCTGATCCTCATCACTTTCTGAACCTTTTTTGTGATCATGCAAATGATTTCTTTTCTGTTCTCTTGGTTTCATTCTTCTCTGATCAGTTATATTTCTCACCAGGTCACTCTCTGAGTTTGGGATAAACCTATGCAACTCTTCATCACTCGCTGATGGAGGTGTATATGGTCTCTTTCTACCATGAGACTTACTGTCATCATTTGAACCAGAAAAAGCATTTTCAGAAGAACTCGATTTCTTCCTCTAAAATGAGTGAAAATCCAAATAAAAATTTATCAGTAACATGCAGCTGCAGTGCCTTAGCTCTTAATTATTTCACAAGAAAATCAGAATAGTAAGTGAACCAACAATGAAATTATTCTATGACAAGAACACAATATGTTTCAGCAGAGAAGACAGAACAGTGTTCTCTATATAAAATATTTTTTTAATAAGACACTGTATGTCAATTTTCTATTAACATAATGTGCTTTCATACACAAATAACAAAATCAGAAGTTCTCACTTAATTTCCTTTTTAGTCCAAAAAATTACTCACTGATATATATATATATATATATATATATATATATATATATATACACACACACACACACACTATATATATATATATATATATATAATAAATATAAACTAGTATTAATAAATAAATAAATAATAATAATAATAATAATAAATAAATAATATATAATATAATATAAGAAGTAAAGATAAACTT